AGCCTTGCTCTTTAGCTCAGGAAAAAAAGCTTTCACATCCAATCTAAATCCACAAGATCTTGTTCAGGCTCAGTTTATGGCTAGTGGAGAGAAGAAATGGGAGTGGAAAATTGTAAGGATTTTAACTGTATCTTCTGACATTCACATAAATTATGCTCTTTACGGGGGAGAATAAAAGACAAAATTGTGCTTTTCTTTTTTGAGTTGCTTTAGAATTGGAATCCTTAGATGCTTATTAGTGAAGAGAATTCCACTTTACGATATAATTTTGTAAACAACAATTTTTTGTCGTGTCCTAAAAGATTTGATGATTAAGACAGGCAACCATTAAATATGTGCAGTAACAATGTTTTCCTTTATTTCAAGTGTCACCTGAGGTTCTCTGCTGCTAAAATGTGGCAATTTAAAGCATGATAATGTTGTATAACCCAATACAAACATGAAAACGGCATCATATTAATTTTTATATTCTTTAAATGATCTTAGACTTAATTTCATCTTGGCATAAGATTTTATATTGGATTACGAATATTCAAGAGAGAGCTGAGCCATCCTTTCAACATGGTATAGGTTTGGAATAGATCCTCCTGTCTTGTTTTTCTGGTTTTTTTCTTCTTATTCTGACGCAGTATTATAGTGAGTGTACTCAGAATACAGTCTTGAGATTTAGAGCTTTCCTGACTAAGCTTTTCAGCTGCTTGATCTCCATATACTTCATTCAGAGTAACCTGGCGGAACAGAGCCTGCATCCTGCTGATAGGTGTTTTTGCAGTTTGCTTTAGATGTACTTAAGCTTTAATTTTCATTCACTTACCCAGGTATCTGTGAAAAAAATCTGTGTTTGCTATTCCTCATTCTATTTTATGCTTTTGTACTTTCCCTCTGCGACTGGAGAATGCTGTAGTATATTTGTTAGTTTTGCTCCTTTCCCCATCCCTCATTTCACACTGCAGGGAACATTTCATTATTTCATCCTATTACAGTTACATGAAAAAATTTGACCAGAGCCTCTTTCTCACCTTTTATCAGCCTTTCTGATGTTACAGTGTACTTTAGAATCACACTCCTCTCCTCTGCTTGAGATAATAACTTTAAGGGGCTCTTCTAGCAGATTTTTTTCTGAAGGCACACCAGATCCTTGGTAGCATGCTTCCCTCTTCTGTTACCACAATTTCATTGATAGCGTAGGCTGAAGGTGTGATTTCTTCTTATTTACTGTCTTAAAAGCTTGTCTTAAAAGCATGTTCTACTCCAGAGGGAAAAGAACAGTAATGATGAGTCGACTGAGAAGCGGGGGAAAATTTCTAGGGGTCAGTCTCAAAGTACTTTCCATTTTTGGAAAGCGAACAATGCCTAATAGTTTTGAGAATTTTGTTTTTGACATGCAAGTAAACACAATTTAAAACTTGTTCCTTAAAAAAATTCATCATATACCCATCAAAAAAAAAGTTCCATATGAAAGTGTTGTGTTTCATCTTGACTATTTTTCTGCTGTTTTGATATATCTTCCAGTTTTTAGTCTACAGAGGCTTGAGTGATCAGTTTTTTTATGCTGCTTGAAATTAGATTCTAGCACCTGGTTTAAAAGAGGGACTTCCTATTCTTATAGGAACATAATCTTCCTATTCTTCTATTGTATTAGAAATATTGCCATTCTCTTAAGAAGTCCCAGTATTTAACAAATCATTTTTTAGACGTGGGATTTCCCATGAGTAGTTTATAGAGCCATGGACTATAAAACTATAATAATCATTGAAACTTGTACCTCAGGCACTAAGAAAATGTGTGTAATTGCTACTGTGCCACCTATGCTGCACTTATGTCCAGGTTTACCCTCTCTGTCCTGCTAAAGCAATTGAAGCAGATAGAAATATTTTTAACTTCAATGAATTCAGATATTTGATCAAGAATTTTAATTTTGCAAAGGAAGACAGGATTCCCCTAACAAAATCACTGTTTTTACCTTGTTCAAGTGGATGGAGAGTAGGGTGAGAAAAGCCCAGACCACAAGAAAATATTTCCTGCTATGTTTTGGTGCAGTAGAATGAGTTATAGGAAAGCAGTCAAATCCCTCATCTTGTGGACCTTATCAGGGTCTGCTTAAAAGGTCTGGCAGCAACAGCAGTCACTCCATTACTTTATTTGGACTTTTGACTAAATCTGCAAGTACATATCTTCAAAGGCATGTAGGCATTTAATAATTTTCAAGTGTTTAATTAAAAACATTCAAAGGAGTTTGCATGATTAAGTCAGGATTCTCAAGGGCATTTCTGAATTTTAGAAACTTCTTAATGAATGTATGACTTTATCTATAGTGCCTAATAACTTTAAAGGCCAGTACCTCATTTATACAGGCCAATATTTCCCGGGAAAAAATAATCAAGCTCTTTACTAGCCCTATTATACAGCACTTTGCTATTCTTCCACTAGAAGAATAGGGAGGAGAAAAAGGGGAAGGGGTACTGGGAAAATATGGCATATAGAGCTGTAATGACACACACATCAAAGAATTGAATTAAGCTTGCAACGAATGGGAAATGTGAGATATAAAGACTTTCAGATATTAGCTTTTTCAAGGTTAATAAAAGCTTCTTGGATATTTTCTCTCAGTTTTCTGATTTTCTTAAAGGAAAAAAGGTCAAGCTGATTCTTCTATATTTTGAAAGCAAACTTTCCCTATCCAAACCCTTGATGAAGTTTGTAAAGATCTACAGAAATAATGATTCAGGAGAATGATTACTTGTGTCACCTCTGCATATCAAAGGTCATTGTATTTCTTCTGAATGTTCCTGTGTTGAGTCTTGTAACTTGCATTAGACTGACTCAAACCCTTTGTAAAGCAGCAGACCTTGATTTGCAGGCATCAGTGGATGGAAAAATTACCCCTTTCTTTTTCCTCATAATAATCACCTTAGCTGTTAGGAAACAGCTGACATTGTTTCTATGTTGAATTTGTCTCTCTTAAGAGTTTTACGTATTTGTTCTTGTCATGCTTTTCTGTGTAGTCTGAAAGAAGTCTTCAGTACCTGCTATTTTCTCCCTGTGAAGGTCTTCAGACACTGTAATCAAGTCACCTCTTGGTGCTCTTTTTGATAAACTAAATGTGCTCAGCTCTTTAAGTTTGTCAAAGAATTTTCTCCAGTCCCTTCACTTATTTTTAGTGCTTTTTATGCAGCCATTCCAACTTTCTACAGTCTTGTTTTTTGCAATATGAACAAGACTGCAATTCCAAATATCATCAGTGATGTCTATAGAAGTAAAATTGTCCTTCTACTGTTGTATTTCATTTAATGGAAATGAGTCCATTTAGCAGGGAGTTTTGAGTGTTTAGTGAACTTCTATTTGGCCTTATAGCTGTGATACACTTGAGGACAGTATTTTTTATTTTCTTTTTGGTTAACCAGGAGGGAAGTTTTTTGTCTGTTAATATGTCTTATATTTGTTTTTTTTTCTAGACGTAAAGACTCATATTTGTGTTTGAACAGTGCCATAAGAGCTATAACATGACCTAGAGGACAGAATTCCTCCTCTCCTGGAGGTTCTGTTGAGGAGATTTATCTAGTGGAGGGCAGAAGCCCATCTCTGACTGATAGGTTGGTATGTGGGCGAGAAGGATGTATTCTCTCTTCCCTTACAGTTTTCTCCCCTTTGCTTCAAACCACCATTTGGCACTATTTCCTTGATAAGTCTTAATTAGAGTGTTAGAAAAACCAATGCTATTTTTAACATTTCATATTGGTCATAAACTGAAATTCCTGCCCACATTTTATTTGACAGCTAATTTACATTTTGGCCACAATTTGACAGCACTGCTCGATTTCTTTTTAAAATAATTTTTATTCTACACATCAAACTTTTTAAAGGCAAGCAGACACATTGTCCTATGTGTTCATTGACTAAAGTGGTTGAATCTTTTATTTTCACTGTAAATTATTAGCCACATACAGCAAAATGTAGCTATATGTGTTTCTATGTGTGTTACATGTGCATATTCTAGTTTGGACACACATTCATAATATGCGACTGAAGCAGGTTTGAGAAGGAAAATCTCATTAAATCCAGTGATAAATTTACAGCAATAAGCAAACACAAGTATTGAGGACAAGCATTTCAGAAGGGAGTGATAGGCAGATTTTAGCAGGCTCTCCATGATCCTTTGTGTCCATCACAGGGAGGGAAGCAGTCTCCACAGGCTGTCTCCAAGATTGCTGTTGGGGCTGAACAAAACAGGGTGTCATCTCAAAAAACAGATCCTATTTTTCTGTGTAGGCTGAGGTTCCTACCAGCTGGACAAAACAAGGGCTTACTTTTGATGAAATTAAAGAATGCAGAAAAAAATACTGCTATGACAGTTTTTTCCCCACTGTGGTATCCTTCTTAAACAACAGTGACCTTTTACATTGCCAGTCATAAAAGAAAGGACTGGGAAAAGCTGATGATAAGAAAGGAGAAGAAATTGGCAAGGAAGGAACAAGGAAGGTAAATGACTAATACTGTATCAGCTGGCACTGTAGCGAATTCAGGGAAGACAAACTATCATATAAGAAGCAATCTGGCCCAGAAGACACAGCAATTAACTTGTTTTATTACTGGAGAATGGGATAACAGTTTCTTCCACAGACCAAACCCAGAAATCTCACAATCACTGACAGATAGCTATAAGAAAAGGAAGCAAAAAACATTTTGATCTCTTCAAAATTTAACAGTGATATTTTCTTGTAGAGGGATTTGAGAAAATAGAATTGAAATTTGTATGATTAGATGAAATGTATTCATATACCTGGTTTGCCTGTGGTAAATAGCTCTGCCAATGTAAGTGCTGAGAGATTTAATAGAGTGTGTTCACTTTTATTCCAAGGGTCTTGCATTTGTGTGCATTTCTATCACAGATGAGAAAAGACATAAAAAACCCCAGCTATGGCAAAACCTGACTGAAACTGTTGCATATCTGAATGGACATAATCATACCTAGTAAAGCCCTGCTTTTTTTTATTCTGCAGGTACACGAAGATGAAGACAGCGACCAACATCTACATCTTCAACCTGGCTATGGCAGATGCACTTGTTACCACCACCATGCCTTTCCAAAGCACCGAGTACCTGATGAACTCCTGGCCATTTGGTGACGTGCTGTGTAAAATAGTGATTTCTATTGACTATTATAACATGTTTACCAGCATTTTCACCCTCACCATGATGAGTGTTGATCGGTACATTGCTGTCTGTCATCCTGTGAAGGCTCTGGACTTTCGTACACCTCTCAAAGCGAAGATAATCAACATCTGTATCTGGCTGCTGTCCTCGTCTGTTGGTATATCAGCAATAGTTCTTGGAGGTACCAAAGTAAGGGAAGGTGAGTGTGAGCATTCAAAAATTCAGTCTTTTTATTTCTCAGCTGACAATAAATTGTAGGTTCAAATATTGATCAAACCTTATTTGTTCCTTCTTCAAAAGTACATCTAAATTCCTGACATTTTGAAATATATAGTGAAACATCACAGTAAAATATATAAATCATTTAAGCTCAGATGCCCTTGCCAAATTAAAGAACAAAACACACCTTGGAGCACTGCCTGTGCTAGAATGAGTCCATCAAAAACTACAAGCAGACAGCTGGGAAAAAATTATCAGGAGTTTAATCACAATGGGCAAACCCACGATCAGTTTAGGCTGAAAATTGAAATGTAGCTTTAAGGTTCTTTTTGTTTTTAAGGTGTTGTGAGAGTAGTTCCAATGAAGTCCCAAGAGCAGAAACTAGAATTCTTGGGAGTTCATTATCACCAGCTGTTTCACAGAACTTGAAGGCATGGTGAAGAAAGAAAAAGTCAGTAGCTGGAGAGAGAAGATTAAGATAAATTATGTATGACAATATCTCAAGATCATTTTTAAAAAGGATAGGAATTTATATGGAAACGTGGAAAAGCTGAGAATAAGAACTGTGACAGGAAATGGAAATTCAGGCTATGACAGGGAAAGAGCTACAAGAACACAAAGTCAGTGAAAACTCTATGCAGACCATGTGTAGGCTTTTCTTGAAATTTCTGTTCCATGAAGGACTGTGGATTTAGCCCCTATAGGTCCTGACTCATTACCCTGCTAGGGGATTAATCTGATTTCAAGATCTTCCTTGAAAAGGAAGGAGGAGAAGCATTTTCACACACATGTGCTTCAGACCCATAGGTGTGAGTGCAGTGCAGGGGCATCTCAGTGTCTTCAAAGGGCTGGAGACTTCTAATGGTGTCCTTGGGTTGGGGTCATCCCATTGCTGGATGGCTGGATAAAATACATGGCATTTATGTGGTAGGAGTCTTCTTTGAGATGTAAACAACCTTTTGAAAAATTATTCATAATTTCCTGCACTATCAACCTTTTTTATTTAGATCAGTTTCACTCCTCTCAAGACAAATGTTTACCTAAGGACACTGCTTCATCTGGCAGAGACAATAAATGCTGTCTGTTAAGCTGTTTGACATAGATCAGTGTGAAAAATCATTTCAGTAACAGCTGCTCAAGGGCTAATAGATTTGGCTGAAGATATATAGATTTTTTTTCTTGCTGTTAGTCTTCTGTTATGTAGGTGACAGAAAAGTCCTCTGGAAGCTCTTCTTTCAGTGCTTTGGGGGATCACGTGTCCTGGTCTGCAGTGCTGTAACTCTTCTCCCCAGTAAAGTTTTGACAGGCTCTATAAAACAAGGTCTAGCTGGGGAAACATTAACTTCAGGCGTGTTTGGGAAGGATGTCTTGCTACGTACGAGATCTTGAAGGCCATGGGACATTGGCTCAGACAGGTGTTTTGCTGGAGCAAGCTCAGCTAATAGAATATTCCTGTCATTCAATGCCAGCAGAATGTTTAGATCAAGAGGGTCCTCTGAGGCCAGCAATGATTAAATGCCTTTTCCATGCCATGTAGAAGGCAGGCCTTTTTTTTTTAGCTTATGAAACAGAGACTGGTAATACAGAAGACAGCTGGGCTAAATGATGTTGGAAATATTGGCAACTGCTTGTCAGCTGCTACTGTTCCTCCCTGCTTGTCTGATCTAAGGTCTCTCTTGGGCATTTAATGTCAATTACCTTGTCTGGTGTGCTCATGAATTGTGCTGATAAATGCTGAAGTGGAAAGGCGAGGATGCTCCCTTTGCCTGACAGCTGGAGCTCAGGCCTGAAACTTTATGTAATGTTGGTTAAAACAGTTGTTGTTTATATGCTTCTGGGCCTCTTTTAGATTCACATTTAAGAAACAACTGAACAGCAAATAGAAAGTGATTATGCTTGAGGTTATATATATATATACATATATATACATATACATATATATATATATATACACATATATATACATATATATACATATATATACATATACATATATCACACACACATATATATACATATATATATATATACATATATATATATACACAGACCCTACTCAGTTAATCCATTTTGTTATCACAGTTCAGAATTGCTCCCAGGTGTGTTCTTTTAGATACATTTTTCCATTTTTCCTGCAGAATGAATTTTACATCTGTGTGAATTTTCCTGCTCTGGCCTTAATGGAGCTTTTCTTGCTGAGAAATTGTTCAACTATCAAAAAAATAAAGATGTAAAATTAAATATTCATATAGTAAGGATATGAAGGGTATAAAAGTGACACAATCAATATGATATATCTAAAATGTAAGTTTCCTAGATCAAGATTAATCTTAAATGGTAGTTTATCAAGCACATTATAAAATATATTTATACTGAATACCATATAGAATTCAGGATTTTTCCTTAAATATATCAAATGAATTCAGAATATTTGGCTTTCAAAGTGGACAATGTCAGTATGAAATCTGAAGTTTATGACACTCTTCATAGTTCTGCAACTTTTCAGACAGTAAAAATAAAATATAAATTGGATTTTATTATGTTCTATTTCCAAAATTTCAGAAAATTAATATGGTATTGTTATCATGACCAGAATTTCTGTTAACTGTTTCCTTCTTGTAAACTGGGAAACTGTAAATGGATTCTATAAAGTACTATATAAATATTATACTATACATAAATATATATACACACACTATATATAAAGCATTACGTATATCAAGTGCAATACACGAATATTAATGAATTTAGAATAAGATTTTTCCATAGAAAGCAAACCACAATGAGATGTAAGATGATAATTAAGTTTGTATTTGATAATTTGACATTCTAAAACAACATTGCCAACCACAAATTATAGCAAGATGTAGTAAGGAAGTCCTAATAATTTTGATAAACATGTGAAATTATGCCAGTAGATCTGAAGAGGCCATTTCTTCTGGGAGTGAGATTCAGAGGGTAGCTGGATGTGGTCTGGGGCGGCCATCCCCGATCACACCTCATTTTCATCCCACACATCTGGAGGCAGATTTGCTAATTTAGATAATACAGCTGCATCCTGATTTTATGTCTGCTGCAAAGTCATGATCTGCTGCAACTAACAGTAACAATTGACAGAAAAAGTACTTTGAAGATGATTGTTGGCATTTCTAGAATAGAATTAAGTAAAAGCAATAATGCTTATGAAAACCTATATCACAAAGGATTTAGATAAGTTCACAAGTCATACTTGTGCTGTCATATGTGTATCCTGCATCTGCCTTGAAAAATGTCTTTTTCACTTTCAGCTTGCAGAATCATACGTATTATTTAAAATAAAACCTCAAAATATTTAGCTTTTTGAACTGTAAATGTTTACTATTAAAATGTTTCTGTATTCAATATTGCCCAGTTACAGCTTTCTGGTATCAAATCATGGAAATGTGAGTATGGCACTATAATGATAACTTCCTCCCATAACTGTTTTTCAAAACAAATTCTCTGCAATATTTTTTTGATTTGGAAAGCATTTTTATAGCAGGGAAATTTGGCCTGACTGTTTTTTTCTGACGTGTCCTAATGGAGACAGATGTGAAAAAGTGATGTGCAGGAGTATACTGAATGATTCCACTCTTAGATCTGAATCAATGAAAAACAATACATAATAATTTGTAGAGGAATGACAAACTCAGTGGGGAAAATGATAAAAAGTACAAAGAACTTTACAGGATAAAATCTAAGCTACAATTCAGAGTGAAAAACCCCTGTCTTACCCTGACTTATCTTCAGAAGAGTTGAACTACTGACAGTAGTTGTAAATTTGCCCCTACTTTTCCCTTTTCATTTATCTTGTTATTTATGTTTCCATATGTTTTATAGTCTGGAAGGCTCTGATGAGATCAGCAAATGAAACATCAAATATTTAATTCCTTGGCCACCTCTTGTCAGATGAAATATTTCTGTTAAATACATTCAGGGGACAACCTGAGGCTCTGAATCCTGGCATGGGCAATGGGAAAGGGAGTGAGCTGATCACTGTGGCCCAGATCCTGCAGTCTCTGCACAGGCTGCATTTTCAGTGGCACAATCTGCAAAAAGAGTAGCTTCCATTTCATTCCATGCACACATGTACTTCAGTTGCTTCTGTTTGACAGAAAAGAAGATGTTTCCAGTTTTTCTGAATGTAAGCACTTGTGTGTACTCTATTTGTGCTGCAAAAGGCCCATGGGAAAAGGTTATTGCACAATTATCATATATTGGCAAAATTTTATTACTATCAAAACCTCCTTCAGCTTCTACCATTCATGTTATCAAAATTTTTTCTCCACCCACAGATGAAAACATATGCAGTTTGATGATAATGATGATATTTCTACTTCACTGAACATGGTACTCAGTCTTGTTTTAAATCTCAGTGAGATTCAAATAGAAACGACTTTACAGATTTTGTTTTTGTGCTCTGCTTTTTTAGGTCCTCCCATGGGAAAAAAAATTCATACAATATTTTTCATTTATAAAAGCTCAAAACTCAGTAATTTCTAGAGACAGCTGCATAAAACCAGTTTCAATAGTAACTGAAAGCTTCCTTGGAGTGATTTAATGATAACTCCATTTATTAATATCGCAGTACATGCTAATCACTTTTCCTAGGTTATGCTATGATAATGACATTGTTTAGAATATCTAATAACAAGGCAATTTTCTTCTTGCTTCCTTCATTTTTAGATACCGCTAGCACTGAATGCTCCTTGCAGTTTCCAGACAGAGATTATGTGTGGTGGGACATCTTCATGAAAATCTGTGTCTTTGTCTTTGCATTTGTTATTCCAGTCCTCATTATAATTGTTTGCTATACCCTGATGATTCTGCGCCTGAAAAGCGTGCGGCTTCTCTCCGGGTCTCGAGAAAAAGATCGAAACCTGCGTCGCATCACCAGGCTGGTTCTTGTGGTTGTGGCAGTTTTTATTATCTGCTGGACTCCTATTCACATCTTTGTGCTGGTGGAGGCCTTGGGGGACGTGTCCCACAGTACTGCTGCCATATCCAGCTACTACTTCTGCATCGCTCTGGGTTACACCAACAGCAGCCTCAACCCAATCCTTTATGCGTTTTTGGATGAAAACTTCAAGAGATGCTTCAAGGACTTCTGCTTCCCCCTCAAGATGAGGATGGACAGGCAGAGCACCAGCAGAGTCAGAAACACTGTGCATGACCCAGCTTACATGAGGGAGGCAGGTGGGGCAAACAAACCTGTATGACTAGTCGTGGAAATGTCATCTTACTGTCCTCAGGAGAGAGAGGAGTCCAATGACCTAGGACTGACGCAGATTACCACTGCAGTTTGAAATTGACTCACCCAGACAGACATTTCTGGAATATTTCAGAAATCCCAGCAGTTTCAGCTAAAGCAAGTTTATTATTGATAAACAAGAACTGCCTGAAAATGAGCTCAGATGAAAAGGACCTGGATGATGGCCAGGTTTTGGCACTGTATCTGTCACACTCGAGCCAGCACTAAAACACACTTTTGCAGAGAGAAGAGATAGTGTCACACCAGGTGATTCTGGATAAGAATGGTTCTGGCTCTTCTCTTTACAATATGTAACATTGTAATAAGCAACATTTGGTCCTAAAAGAACTATACCAGAAGCTTCTGCCCCAGCAGTGATTGCTTCTAAAGTAGGAAGTTTGACAACCTCGTCCTCTTTAACAGTGTTAGGTTTCTGTGAACAATACCAGAGCTATAATCAATATTGTCCTCAATTAATATATCTTTGTAACCTTTGTTTGTGCTGTGAAAATCCAATTTAAGCATGATCTACCTACACACCAAAGTGATTTTATTGTGTCTGTGTATGATAAAGCTTTTTGGCATTCAAAAATATTGGAATTTAAGGAAAATTGTTATCACATGTTTGATCACCTGTGTGTAATGTTTTGTATGTGTGATTTTCCAAGGTGGTTGTTTCTTTATTGAGTCTGAATAATATAATATGCATTTTCAGAGTGTATATTGAACAAGAGGCTAGAAAACTTCAAATGCTTCATCAAAATTGATGAAAAGCTGTGTTACATTCATTCCATGGAGGAAACACTCTCATGTGTAACTTGTTTTCCTGGACAATATGTAAGCAGGCTGAAATAAATATCTGACAAATTAGAAACAAGTTAAGTAGCACATGAACTAACTGGATTGATACAAAGGAAATTAAATATTACTGGATGATTTAATGGCATTTGATGGAAAAAGTTCCTGGTTTATTGATGTTGATATATTTTTTTTTTATACAGGCCATTAATTCAGTAATTTTCTCTGTTTTCCTGTGAAGATGGAGGTGTCAAGGCACAGCTAAATAACTTACTAGCTTGCTGAAGATAAATTTATGGTTAAACTGAGCCTAACTTCCAGTCTGCAGACTTCTGTCTTCCTGAAGTTATATGTTGCAACTCCCACTACTGCTGTTGCTGAAATTTGGAGGAATGCTCTCATTGCCATCACCCTGAACAGACACACAGATACAGATATATATCTTGTTAATTTTGTTCTTTTACAAAAGAAACTATAAGGTGGGTGCCTTCACTTCATGGCAAATTTTCTCAGAAACACAATCTGATTTGGTCCTAACAGACCAAAAATGCTTTATGCACACCAGCATAAATAATGAGTTTTTTGTTGGACTAGCTGGCAGTCCAGTTCTGGAGGAAGTGCTGAAGATATTCAGCCTTCTGCAGGACTTCCATATACTCTATTGTTAATACAGTCATATATATCAAATATTTTTGATACCAGGTTGATAAATGCTGTTATTGTTGAAATATTCAAGATAACTCTTTCTGAACAAGTCTAGTGCTTTCTGATTTTTTTCTATGTGAAGAATGAATAGCTGACCTCAGGATGCTTGCTTTACCTGGGGAAATGAATGATGTTCACACAATGCTGAGTCTCATCTCCTATTCTGTCATTCATTCATTTTTCTTAACATGCATCCACCTTTCTAAATTAAGTCCTGACCTTTAAATGGCCACAAAAAAAGAATGTTTAAGGCAAAAATTGAAAATCCAAGGTGTTTATCAAGTTAGGAGCAAGTGAAATGGGAAAGAACTAGAATCTAATGAACTATTTTCATTCAAAATAACCAATGTTCTTGTTCATGACTTACCATTTGCATATGTATGTCTGTGCTTGAATAGAGTTTTTGTTCTACACATTATGTGCAATGCTCTGCATTGTAATGAAAAATCACTGTTCTTAATTTGCAAAAAGGAGGCTTCTAATAATATTTTTTCAGGTTTATGTTTTGAAGAAGGAGATCATCATTTCTATCACAGTGGGAGGAAAGTATAACTTCCTAACAATTAAGCTTGCAAAATGTTATAAGAATGTGTCCTAAAGGTTTATTTCTATCATGGATCATTAACAGCCAAATTAGTCTGAATGCAGTAGAAAGATGTCTCGGAAGTTTTCTTGTCAAATTGAGCAGCTTTTGAAGCTACACTTCACTGAACAACAGCAGAAAACTGGCCAAGGTATCTTCAGCACACGAGGAAGAGCATTAAAAATGATACTATGGTTTTGCTCACAGGATCTGCCTCAAGATGACTGAATTCCCATTGCAAAGCACTTCACATTCTTTGTGACTCCAGGCCAGTGACTTGCCTTGTCTCTTGCTCTGGCTCCAGGAGGCAGCAAGAGGTGAAGGCAGGGTAGGAGCTGCCTGGCCCAGGAGTAGGTCTGGGTGGGGAATGGGGCAGCAGGGACAGGCTGTGCTGTCCCATGGGCCCTGGAGGAAGGCAACATGTGGCAGACACACGTGGGCAGCCTGGGAATTAGTTGTACTTGCTGCAACCACTCTTACCTCCCTTTCTTTTTGGAGGTTCCAAAAATTCAATACTGCAAAAGCATGGTCACGGACCTGCTTGTGGGCCTAAACTCCAGTCAATCAACTAGTGTGGATAGTTAACATCTCACTTTCTGTGTTTTCTGCTTCTTTTAACTGAGAAATCTTTTATTTGGAAAATATACTTGGTGTTCTGGTCCAGGACAGAACAACAGATGGCAGAGAAATAATGCTCAGATGCTGAGAAACCCCAAGTTTTGTTAATGAGCAATACCTCAACATGCTGAGAAATTCAGAGGAAAACTGAAAATTACATTTTTTTTCCTGTGAAAGGCAAAGGGAAAACATACCAATATGAGCCAGAATTCCTTTTGGTTCTGGTAAATTAATGAAGTCTTTGCAAAGAAGACAGGGAGATTGTGCTGGGATTTTTATTTTCCTTAATTGTTTATCAATTCTTAATCAAATAATCGTTGTAAATATATGGCTGTTTTCTTCCCATTGAAATTTTTTCTTCAGCAAAAATGTGGATTCAGCAAAAATGATTGAGTTTGTGATAACTTATGTAATCTGTCAAATAAAAAAAATTAATTGTGCCTGGATAATTTTTAACTGCATCTTACAGGTGTGCAATACAATATAGTGAGTGCATCTATTCAATGCCAGAGTGATAGACTGAAAGATATTTCAATTTGATTGGATATTTGACTGAATCAAAGTATTTTGGCTTGGGTCTTTCTTTTTGTTGGACTGCATGTGGCTTGGGAACTGTTGCTGCATAAAGCCCTGATGTGCAAGGTGGAATGATCTCAGACTCAGAACACTTAGTTAAAAGTGTTTTGACATCCAACTGTGTGGCTAATGCAAGAGTGTGCAAGCACTGGGAGCTGCTTGCTGAAGGGAAGCAGCTGAGAGCAGGAGCTGCTTCCCCTGCTGCTTTGGGACAGGTAAAACCTGTCACACACTGTGTGTAAGGACTGCTCAGCTTTAGGTTACACCACTGTGATTTAGCCACAGCTGGCAACAAAAAACAACAGAGTCACTTTCTCACTGCCTGTTCCCTCCCCTCCAAAAAACTTGTGGGTTGGGATAAAAACAGTTTATAATAGAAACAAAGTAAAATATACTAATATTAATACTAATGCTAACACTAGTAGTAATAAAAAGGAGACTGTGCCTGTCTCCTCTTGGCCAATTCCTCCCAGTTTACACACTGAGCATGAAATCCTGTGGCATGGGATATCTCTTTTGGCAAGATTGGGGCAGCTGTTCTGGCTGTGCTCTCTCCTCTCTTCTTGTGCGTGCTGGCAGAGCATGGAAAATTGGAAAGTCAGGGTAAGACTTGCTTGGCCACAAATAGAACATCAGTATGTTATCAACATATTCTTTTACTAAATCCAAAACACTGCCCAGTACCTGCTGCTCGGAGGAAAACTAATGATAACCCAGCTGAAACCAAGACAATAATTTCTGGGAAAGATTCTTGGAAGTTACCAGTGTACTTCCCCTCCAACGTTGATTTTTAGCTGGCAGCAAATCTAAATTCTCTTATTCCGTTTCCAATTATGTTAATACCAATGGCAACATCTCAGATGTTACGGATCTACAGAAGGGAAATACCCATCTCCTTCATAAGTAAACAAGCCCTGGGGCAGACTGATAGCTGTAGGAATCTGGGTTGCTACTTTGCTGCTAAAAGGAATAGCAAAAATACCTGCAGCTTTGTACTCTACTGCTAAGTTGCAGCAATCCCTGTAGTAAACCTCATGCAGGTGTTCTTGTCTATTAGTGATTTAATGGTGTGAAGACTTGTTAGTGGGTACACAGTATGAGAAAATTGTATTGACAATGACAGCAGTTTAGGAAAGTGCTTAGAAAAAGTGTATAGAAGCTAGGAGACATGAAAAATAAAGGCTGTGAGCACGTGTGAACCAATGTATCAGTGTACAGGATTTCTTCTTGCTTTTAATTTATAAACTCTGATATTATATATTTATACTTATTAGAAAGAAACTTATTTCTCTTCAAGTTAGCTGAAATGTGTTCTAAAAGCTTTAAAAATGCAAACAATTTAGTGGGCCTTGATGTGTGGAAATAAAGTAGACAACACAGGTACTGAACTACAAAACATTTGGCAGAGTGGGAGAACAGTGCAATGTAAAAGGAGAGTTTGGAAACTACTGTGAAATACAGCTGACTTTCTTGGTAGAGGCCATCATGTCCTGGAAGAAAAGTACTTATTACTGTGAAATACAGCTGACTTTCTTGGTAGAGGCCATCATGTCCTGGAAGAAAAGTACTTATTACTGCTAATGCATTTCCTCCCAAACTGTCTCCCATTAAAGTAAATACTTAGCTGTCTGTCTCCAAAACAGCCTCTATAATTTTTAAAATACCTTCCTGCGCAAGAAGCTCTTCAGAAAGCAACACCAGGAAGCAGTCACGAAGGCAGTCTAATGATAGACCTGCAACTAAATCCTGCTCTTCAGTAAATGCTTAGTATGGGCAAAAAAAATGTGTTGACTGCATTTATCTCATATTTCCAGATATCAGAAACACAGCTTTGAAAGTCTGTATCTGTTGGACAGATATTTGACTGATCAGTAGAAATACCCTTGTACTGTGAAGTTGTAATGTACTTGTCAAAACCACTGTTAATTAGCCCTGGAAATGGCAGGATGCATTTTAGGGATATGTACTTCCTTCTGTCTTCCCTGAAGCATAATTTTTTATGGCCAAAATTGCCCTAATTGAAAAATGCCTTTGTTCAGCTGAAACTAGCATTAATATGCTGCCATTTGTAGCAGGTAAGCTGGTATTTTGTGCTTCTGGAGCACTTTTTTCTTCAGCCTGATATTTTGTATCTCTTTGTGATATTTTTTATATCTTTGTTGTGTGTCATGGTGCAAGAAGTGTCTAGAGTAGACAGCTCCTGTATAGAAGTTAGGAAGTTAGGCTTACCTAGTGTATTCTTCCCCCTCTTTTTTCAACTCCTGCTTGAATTCCAGTCTTCTTTTTTGGTGAGGGAAAACAAAACAAAACAAAAAAACCAAACCAAACCAAACCAAACCAAACCAAACCAAACCAAACCAAACCAAACCAAACCATAGGAATTATGTAGGCATAAAACTGTTATCTGCAAATCCATTTTATGTTTTTCTTTACTTTTTTTTTTTTTCTTCCATTTTATTTACTCCTATATGTGCCTAAAATGCAGAGATTACCTCCAGCTGTATGAATGACATTAAAATATGGTGCTTTTGCCTAATGGGAGCTGTCAGGTGTTGCAATTCTGTCCCACATGTAAGTATGCACATACAGTGCCCCCTGGTATGGAGTTTCTCTTTTCTTCTCTGACAGGGCAAAGCAACATTTAGCCACTATATTGTGCTCTGTAGTTGATTCTTAATTGTGTTTGTGCATTTTAAAAGCTTTGTTACTGACAGTGCCATAACTCAGATGTACATACAAATTGGTTCCTCAGAGTGGCAGCCATAAAAGTGAGAAGTAATTATACTAATAATAATAGGATCACATAGAATGTTATGAAAATAATATTTTTCTTCACAAAATAAGACTTTATTGTCATTTCATTCACTTAATGAAAATAAAAGCATGTACAACAGCAGCCTTCTCATCCCAGGAGAACACTTCAGTTACGGTGATGGGCTTTATTTGGTTTTATACAGTGAAAAACAGAAGCTTTTCCATTTAAAACTGCAATTTCCATCTGCAACAAACCTTCTGCAACATAGAGGACTTTCCATGTGCATTTTCACAGTGCTTTCAGTTGAGCAATCGATACAAATTTGAACCTTATGTGGTAGGACTCAGATCAGGATTCCAGCATGGTGTATGTGTACTGTGTCCCCAAGTTAATGCTTTCATTACAATGCTATTTTCATCTGCTTGAATACCAACTGGTAGCAGCTGCAGCTGCACTCGATGTTGAAGCCCAAGAAGCTTGTGGCAGAGGTTTCCAGACCACAACTCTCAGGCAAAAGGATGAGCTAAGCAAGGAGTTGTTTGGGTTTGGCAGAGGCTTGGCATAAAAAAAAGCAGAATATTTGGACATGTATAGACCTATAGGTTTCTGTAGTACTAAATGGCAGCTGGGCAAAGCAGAGAAAGTGTGCTACTGTTGTAAAAACTTCTGTTAAATTCTACCTATTCTTTACAGAACGGCAGACCTTTCTATCCACAGGCTTTGTACTGAGTAATTGCTCTACGTGTGACAGAAACCACATTTCTGATTTCACTCTGCTAGATGAATTTTAAACAGAGAATAAAATGCAGCTAAGTCACATAGATCTAATGATAACCCAGATCACAGCTGCAACTCAAAATCCCATTAGCATCAGATAAGTAATATAGAGCTCTTTTCACGAACTCACCTGCTTAACTCTTCATACCAGTTCTGGACAGAACAAACAAATTTGGAATCCTACCCATGATACATATGTCATAAATATATCAGAGTAGGTTCCCTCATGAAACCACTGTATAACATGTACAACATTTTTGCTTGTTTCTTAATTTATATAAGAAAAGGTAGAAAGGTTTTATAGAGTCATATTTCTCATTTATGTGGCTTAAAAAAAATTGGACAAGCATTATGTTCTGTAGCAAGTATTTCTCATTATCTTACTCTGATTGGATTGGCAATATAATTAATTCCCCTGAGACAAGTCTGTTTTGTTTGTGCCAATAATTACTGGGTGATCTCTCCCTGTCCTTATCTTGACCCACAAGCCTTTTGTTATATTTTATCTGCTCTGCCCAGTAGAGGAGGAGGAGAATGATAGAGCAGCTGTGGTGGGCACCTGGTGTCCTGCCAGGGTCAACCCACCACAGAGACTTGGCTGTTTGCTTTGTTTCAGAGCATATGCCATAGCAGAAGATGCTTTGGAAAGTTTGGAACAGGCCATGGACTTTGCATATCCCTTCTGTTGATGAATATCCACTATTTGCTAGACTTTTTTTCTTTTTTTTTTCCGAAGAAAAGACAAAATATGTTTTATTTCAGCTCTACCACCTACTTTTATTCCTCTTAAAGGCTTGGAAAAAACTCAGGCAAGGCCTAGAGAGTAATTTTTTTAGAGTGATTGCTTAGGGGAAGAGGTCTTCATGAGATGAGCATTGTGGAATGAATTTCCTCTCCCCTACAAACAGAAACAGGGGTCAAAATCTGTCAGAGAGAAAAATATTTATGGATTACTATGATATTAGCAGTTTTTTATGAATTAGTGAGCTGTCTTGTGTCTTGATTTGATATGAACATTTCACACATCCTGGGTGTTTCAGCTTTGCAAGAACCCTCTGAGTCATTGCTTTAACAAATGGAGGAAAGGAATGGAAATTTGCTACTCAGCAGGGAAGGAGTAGGAGCTGGGGAAAGTTGCCTTGTTTATTAATAGAGCTGATCTGAATATGGATTTCCTTTCAGAAAAACATTATGATAGATGGAGTGGAAAATAAGAGGATAGGAAAACAGAGTCTTGTTTTCTTATTTTCTGGAGGAAAATGGCATCTTGTAGGTGGCCTGACATGCTGGCACCCAAACTTGGAGATGAGGAATCCATCCTTGATGTGCCAATGGAAACATTAATATTATCTGTCCCTTAAAAGATATATCTGAAAACCATTCAATCTAGCCTCTGAGAAACCACAATATTATTATCATC